GCTGCTGCAGTCCTCTGCATGCCTTAGCATCACTCCAGTCTCTGCCTCCGACTTCACATCTGGCTCCATGTGTGAGTCTCTGTGTCTTCTCCTCTTCTCACATGAACACCAGTCCTTTAGGGCGCACCCTGAGCTGCTGTGACCTCATTTTTACTAATTACATTTGCAGAGACTCTATTTCCACCTCAGGCCCCCTTCTGAGGTCCCGGGTGGACGTGGATTTTGGAGGCCACTATTCAATCCACTACCCCCTCCATCTCTGGAATGCTTTGCCATCTGTTGCTGGTTTCCCTTAACCCTACCCACGCCTTTGTAAAGAGTGCATTTACTAAACTCTCCTCAAGTTCCGGGTCACGTGTGTGCCCTGCCCAGATTTGGAATGATCCAGCCTGTCCAGTGGGCTCACTTGGGACAGGAGCCAGGGCGCTTAAGGAAAAGACCCAGACTTGGTCCATATCAGAGTCATGGCCAGTGGCCTCTCTCAGTGCTAACAGGAATGGAAGTGACCCTAAGACCCACGTGGCAGGAAGGATGGCTTCCAAGGCCACAGTCTCAGGATGTTGCCTGTTAAGACAACGTGATTGAAACAGCCTGTGAATCCTGCACTGGCCTCACACAAGTTCTAGTCTTCACCCCATATCTCCTCACCCAACTTCACGAGCCTCGGTTTCCTCATCTACACCATGGGGTCGTCCTTGCTGCCTGTAGCTCCAGAAAAGACTGAGGGTGCGAATAATGAGAAGCACCTGCAATTGTGAAACAAGCCATCCTTGCTGTGCAAGAGCATTCAGTATTTCACGTGAACAGAGCAGGTACGCAAACTCAGGGGTACAGAAGTGTCAGTCTCATTCTTCTGTGCCTGAACTTCATTTCTATTCCAGCCCCCAGTCTCCTAAGTGGCAACAAACTGCAGCAGGAGTTTGATATCTGAACATACTAAGTGTGAGATGCGAGTTAGAGATCCCAGTGGAGATGTCGAATGAGCAGTTCCATATCTGGACATAGGAGCTGGGGAGTCTTAGCACAGAGACGGCATTTAAAGCATCATAACTAAATGATTACAATAATGAATAGAATATGTCATGGACTGAATGTTTATGTCTCCTAAATTCCTCTGTTGAAATCCTAACCCCTACTGTGGTGGTGTTAGGAGGCAGGGCTTTGAGGGTGATTAGGTCGTGAGGGTGGCAGCTCAAGAATGGGTTAGTACCCTTATATGAGGCTCTAGAGACCTCCCTCACCCCTTCCACCAAGTGATGAGACAGAGAGCAGACAGCCATCCATGAGCCAGGAATGGCCCTCACCAGACACTGGACCTGCTGGCGTCTTAATCTTGGCCTTTCCAGAACTGTGAGAAACAAATGTTTGTTGTTTAAGCCCCTTAGTCTATGATATTCTGTTATAGCAGCCTGAATGGACTAAGACAGGACGTACAAGATGCTGTGGAAACACAGAAGAAGGGGCAGTTGCATTATTTCAAGGAGTGAGTCCCCGATTGTGGTTCCCCATCTTGGAGCACCACCATCACCTGGGACTTTGTTAGAAATGCCACTATGGGGGCCCCACCCTACGCCTGCTCCACCTGAGACTCTGTGGTGGGCCCAACAGTCTGCGTGTGACAAGTCCTCTCTGATGCTCGCTCAAGTGTGAGAACCTGCTTGGCTGAGGGGGTCCAGACAAAAGTCTCATTGGATGTCCATGGTTGACCAGAAGATGCCTTGGCTTCCCCATAGAAAGTAGTCCCTAGCCTCTCTCTTAGGAAGCAGGTCAGGTCATCAGGAACTTTCCAAGGCCTGAGTGGCAACAGAACATGTCAATGGACCATATGATGCTCAGCCAGAACCCACGGGACCCACCCCAGCCCTTCCAGGTCCTTAAGAGCAGACATCAATGGCTGGTTCAGTGGCCACCATGCGTTCAGGCTGGAGAGTTTAAACACCAGAGTGAGCAGAGGCCAGCAGGCACTTTTCTCAATGGGCAGCCCACCCACAAGGAAAGATGAAAAAGAGTCACAGAAACGAAGCCAAGGGACTGAAAAGATTCCTGCGGGGTTTCAGTTCCTTTTTTGCAGACGTGCCAGCTCATTTTGTGATGCTGTGGTTCCCACTGCTGGCCACTTAGGAGATGATTAATGTGTCCTGAGACTTCCCCTGACATCTATGGCACCTTCAGGAATAGCGGTGACAATGGCTCTATCATGCGCCTTGCAACTTCCTACCCCTGCGTTCTTCTTAATTATTTATATATTCTGGAGTGGCAGGGTTTCCTCCCACCGGAGCTCAGCAAGGTAATAGATGAGGAAAGTCAATGGTCTGTGAATTACAACATTGATTAAAGAAGTGATTACTGATATAACTCTTGCTCGGCTATTATGCTAATGCCTGCCCCGGTCCAGGACAGTGTTTACATGCTAATGACAAGCCTGGGACCGCGACTAAAATTGGTTTCCACCTTTAATCAATAAATGCTTTAAACATTTTGAAAGCACTCTTGACCATGAAGGAGAAGATCCATCCTTGGGTTCCCCTCCCAACTGCTCCCTGCTGCTGTCCCCAGCAGATGGAGGAAGTGCTCTCAGCCCAACCCTCACCAGCTGCCCCTCCAAACAGAAGTGCAAGCTGAAGATGAAAATTGGGCCCAGAGTAGCCATTTATAGTTCCCGGAAGCTGGGGAAAGAGAGGACGATCAAAGGAGTTCATTGCTCAGCATCGGATGTGATTTAACTGGGTCCATAGACCCCCCTGAAGGAGACGCTGCTCCTTCCAGAGGACATACAATCCGGACAGGAGACAGATAAGCAAATTAGCAATTACAGCTTAGTTTGGTAAGTGCTATATGAAGAGGCCATGTGTGACTTCATTAACTCTGAAATGCTACACAAAACTGTATGTATCTGCGTTTCTATAGCAAGAATTAACTTTATGTGTATTCTCAAAGGAGTCAGTGACCCCCAAATGATTAGGAAACACTGCTTGCGAGCTTTCTGGAAGATTTCAAATTAACTTCTTGTGTTTCTGCTGCTCTTGGCTCTATCTTATCTCAGTCCCCAACCACATCTCCCCTCAGCCCAAGATCCTTGTTTGGTTGTCTTGAAGCAGGCATCCCCATGAGGAAAGGGCCTTGATCATCCATCCTTCTGACTGCCATCCGTTCATCCATTTTTCCATCCATCCATCCATCCATGCATCCATCCATCCATCTATCCATCCATTCATGCATCCATCCATCCATTCATCCACTCATCCATCCATCCATTCACTATTCACTTTGCTGAGCAAATGCTTCATGAGAAGCTGGTATGAAGAACCCAGAGATCAAAGACGAAAAAGACATACTTCTTGCCTTCAGAGATTTCACAGCTTAGTGGTTGATAGGCACACATGGGGCCAGTTTAAATCACATGCCATAAACTTGGCTATGCAAGACAGATCATGTTGTTTTTCTATAACCAACTTGATTTCTATTTTCGGTTCATTAAGGCAGCAGAACATAATCCCAGTCTAATTTCCGGGAGACTTAACTATGGCTCAGGCCTTGGGGAGGAGGCCTCTGGTCTTCAAGTGTTCTGTTCACAGTTCCTAGAGGACACCCATTTTCAGTCAGATGGGTTACCTCTGCTATGGTCTCACCCCATCCACGCTGCTCCCCCCAGCTCCCAGGGAACGCAGGCATCTGCCTGCTGTTTCTTTGCCAGAGGAGAATGTCCATGGGCTGCATATAGATCCATCCCCCTAAAGGTTTAAGGTTTGGAACACAAAGTCTAGATGCCTGCAGACCTTTATTTTTATTTTCTTTGTCTGTGTGTCTGTTTTGCTTTGTGCTCTGTTTTGTCTCTTTCCTGAGGCCACAATCTGCTAGAAATGGTCAAAACACAGGGGGAGACACAGGTTGGTAGTCACTGATGCGATGCTGCCATTCACAGGATGAATAATTATGACACGAATAAATTTAACAGGCCTGGGGTGAGGGGAGGGGCCTGGCCAGGCAGGCAAATAGGGAGAGAAGGGTGCCTCTACATGGGTGAAGTCCTGGGTGTCCTGGAGAGCCACCTGGGCAGTGTGGAGGGAGGAGCGAGTGGTGGGAATCCTGCTGGAGAGGAAGGCAATACAGCCCTTCAGATCCCAGGAGGCTGGATGGGGTGGGACATGCATGCCACTCAGTTTCTGAGCAGATGTCAGCCTGGGGAACGGACAGCACTGGTGCCCACATCACACTCCCTCACCCCACCCCCAGAGTTCAGTCCCAGCTGCAGTTCTGTGCAGGTTCAAGGTCACTTTGTGATGGCACCAAATCCCAGCTGAAGCTGCTTTCTGCCCCCTGCCCCAGGGCCTTCCTCCTAGATGCAGAAGTGCAGGCGAGTTAACCCACAGGGGCGTCCCTCACCCAGGGAGGGACAGGAGCTGGTAGATAGTATTTCTGCCTGTTATTCTTTAGGTGGACAATTCTGTAGGCATTTTTTTCTTTTTTCTTTTTTTTGTGAGGAAGATCGGCCCTGAGCTAACATCTATGTCAATCCTCCTCTTTTTGCCGAGGAAGACTGGCCCTGAGCTAACATCCATGCCCATCTTCCTCCACTTTATGTGGGATGCTGCCACAGTATGGCTGAGAAGCGGTGCATTGGTGCGCACCTGGGACCCGAACCCAGGCCGCCAGCAGCAGAGTGTGTGCACTTAACTGCTAAGCCATGGGGCCGGACCTCTGTAGGCTTTTCATGAGGCCCCAGAGAAACTAAGCCCAATGGTCACAGCAGCAAACGCAAAAATGCACCTTTCTATTGACTTTTCCTCTTTCTCTGTCTCCCTCACTCTGCTCCCTGACCCCTGCTCCCTAGAGTCACCCCCAAGTAAACCAACTGCACTGAATCCTTGTCTCAGGCTCTGCATTGAGAGGAACATAAATTAAGTACGTGTGCTTTGCAAGAGAAAAAGACAAATGGAAGAAGGGGGGTCTCCAGGGCCCCGTGAACTTCCCCTGCATCCCCTCTCCCTCTGTCTTTGCAGGTGTCTGACCACTGTGACTACGTCTTCGTCAACGGCAAAGAGATGAAGGGCAAGGTGGACGCAGTGGTGAACTTCACGTACCAGCACCTGAGTGCCCCCCTGCACGTCACTGTGTGGGTGCCCCGGCTGCCCCTGCAGATCGAGGTTTCTGACACAGAGCTGAGCCAGATCAGAGGCTGGAGGGTCCCCATCGCGGCCAGCAAGAGGTGAGCCCGGGATGGGGAGATGCACCAGAGTCGTGATGACAGCGGCTTGGTTTACCCGCCATAACACGACAGGAGCCAGCGCAGGAGCCAGCGCATAGCAGGCTCTGGCGTTATCACAGCGATCACATTTCCCCGAAGCTGAACAGCCACCCTGAGGAAACCAAGGCCAGGAGAGCCCAGCCAGGCAGAAGGCTGCTAAGCGGCAGGGTCAGCCTCAGACCCAGGTCGTCTGCCCTCCGAACTTGGGCTCCCGGAGGCTGTCTCTGAAAGTGGCCCCCCAGAGTGAAGCAACAGATGTCATGCATTTTTCCAGCCCCTCAGCCCCCAGGGAATTTGAAGTTTGGTTTGTCTTCTCAGCGATTCCTTCTCTGTGCTTTATGGACACCTATAAACTTGAAAAGCTCTGTGCTCATCAAACTATTGGATAAAGTTTAATTGTATTTATGCTGGACCATGGGGTTACTGTTTGCTCTTAAACTAAAAAAAAAAAAAAAAAAAAAAAAAAGCCCCTAGTTTATTCTGTGTGACTCTGGATTGTCATAGGTAGCAGTTTGGGGTCTTGTTTTCTCAGCTCTGTGGCCCCCAGATTAGCTAAATAAGAGTTGATGCTGAGTCCTGGTTTCCTGCCTGGACTCCTCCATCCTAGACCATCAGGGCTGTTTTCCTGACGCCTCCCAGGCACCAGGATCTTCATTTAAGGTGCAAACTAGAGTGCTCCTCAGGAAGAGTGACCAGGACAGTGTGATGCTGACTCCATTACAACCAGAACTTGAAGGAAGTCGGCCTGACCGGGGAGGGCAGCCATGAATCCAGCCGATACTCGCATCATTTAGTGCTCGTGAGTGGCCAAGAGAATGAGTCTATTCCATGTCCCTGAAGAGGGCAGAACAGAGACTCGCTGAGTTCCACCCCAAGCTCCGCCACTTTCTGCTTTGTGAGTTTGGGCACGCTACCTAACCTCTCTGTGCCTGCGTTTCCTCATCTGGACATGAGAATAGTTACAGCTTTGCCTCAAGTGTTATAAGATTAGAGGAGTTCACACATGTGGAGCTTAGAATGGCACATCTCGAGAGCATAGCACAGCTCTGTCCCATACAACTTTCTGCAGTGGTGGAATGTTCTAGAACCACAGTGTCCAATATGGTAGCCACTAGCGCATGTGCTCGGAATACAGCCTGTGCGATTGAGAAATCTAATTTTTAATGTATTTAATTTTTATTCATTTAAAATTGAAATAGCCGTATGTGGCTATTAGCTGCTCATTGGACACTGGAGGCTTAGTAAATCTTAGCTCTTTAGTCTTATATTTGTCAATAAATGTCTTCAAGAAGGAGCTCCCTAACCCTTTGTGCTGCCCAGTGATAGAACCGGTGCTCCCCATGTGGTCCTGAGGCTCCTGCCGGGCGTGTTGTCTCTTGGAGGTTGAGGGGGGCACCTGCCTGTCTGGCTTGTGACTGGAGGGCGTCTCTGACTCCATCCCTGGACCTGAGAGCGTCTGCCCCTTTCCCACCAGGCCCACGCGAGATAGCGAGGATGAAGACGAGGAAGAGCGGCGGGGCCGGGGCTGCGCCCTCCAGTACCAGCATGCCACCGTGCGTGTCCTCACCCAGTTTGTGTCCGAGGGCGCCGGCCCGTGGGGCCAGCCGAGCCACCTGCTCAGTCCCGACTGGCAGGTGGACATCACCCACCTGGTGGCAGACTTCATGAAGCTGGAGGAGCCTCACGTGGCCACACTCCAGGACAGCAGGGTCCTGGTCGGGCGGGAGGTCGGGATGACCACGATCCAGGTAGGAAGCTGGGGCTCGGACTTTCTGCATCCCCAACACGGAGCGTGTGCCGGCACAGGGGAGGCCTGCAGGATGGGGGTCCTTGTGGCCAATGCCCTGTCCCTGTGATGGCGTCGCGGGGACACCAGAAGGGGAGCAGGGGCCAGCTCTTTGAGTCCCCATCTCCTTCCAAACAGAACCAAGATAATGGTAGCCACATCCCTTAGCACCCCGGACCACCACACTCTCCACTGGTCATCCTCCGTTCCCACCCCCTCCCAACACTCCCCATCTTACTGCTGATTCTCCACACTTGTACCCCCTTTCCAGACTTGTACCTCTTACACCCTCTTAGAAATAACCTTCCCTCCTCCACGCACTGCTCCTGCCCGTGGCCAGGGGAAGATGCATGACTTCATTCTTCCCATCCTTTTGTCCTGGAGTCACTCTGTCATTCTGCCGTTTATTCATTCAACAAACCCTCTTCAAACTCCTACCACTTATCTTTTGCTCAAGGAAATGTATAGAATGGTGGGATTCAGGACAGATGACAGGGGCGTGGAGGGCCTTTTCCGCCAGCCCTCAAGTCCCACCCTACTAACTCCACCTTTTTGGAATGTCTTTCTGGATCCTTACACAACCACCATATGTGGAAGTGATTCATACATTTCTGTCATTTCACCTGGATGTTTCAAGTCCAACATTTGGTTTAAGAGATGAGGCGGAAAGTAATGTTTCAGCAGAGGATACATTGTGCTGGGGGCCTGGGGAGAGAGTAGACTATTTATAATTCAGTTCTCCCCAGTTAATTCCATCTTAGAATGTGATTCATGATGTGCAAAGTGTTTGTATGCAAGTCCTCATAAGTCCAGTTAGCAGGATCGCCATGTTTAGTTAACCAGGTTGTACAGTGTACAAGCGTGCCTCATCTAAATGGGAGGGGTCATTTCCTTTTAAAACCAGAATGGATTTTAAGATTTATTTCAATTTTCCAACAGAGATAACTAAAGTGTCTCGGGGAAGGGGTGACTCTATCTGATTCTTACAAAGGCCCGGTTGGGTTAGTGTATATAGTGAAGTAGTTGTGTGACTCCTTTGGCCTGTACTCTGGACCCAGGCCTGGGGCATGAGGGAAGTGTTGCTGGGAAAGGTTCCGACATCTGGGAACAGGGGTGACAGATGTGTCTGCTGTCCTGCCAATCCCACAGGTGTTGTCCCCACTGTCGGACTCCATCCTGGCAGAGAAGACCGTCACTGTCTTAGATGACAAAGTCTCGGTGACAGACTTGGCCATCCAGCTAGTGGCTGGGCTATCTGTCACCCTCCACCCCAGCACGGAGAACAGCAAGGCCATCACAGCTGTGGCCACAGCTGAGGAGCTGCTGCGGACCCCCAAGCAGGTAGGGGCCCAGATGCCGGAGGTCGAGAGGAGCAGGGCCAGTCACTGTGCCAGATTCAGCAAAAGGGGAGGGAGGAGGGGGGAAGAGGGGCAGGGTCGCAGAACTACGTTCCAGAATGGAGTGATGCAGGCTGTATGAAATCCATATGGCTACAGCGTCTGAATAGTGGGGCTGTGATGAGTAACGATGAGTGAGGATGCCCACTGCACAGGGGTGTATTAGTCAGCTACTGCTGTGTAACAAATCGCCACAAACCTAGCAGTAAAACCACACCCACTTACTAGCTCACAGTCCTGGGCGTCAGGAGTCCAGGTGGGCTCAGCGGGCTCTATGCTCAGGGTATCACAGGCTGAGAGCAAAGTGTCTGCCGGCTGGGCTCTTGGGATGTTCTGGGAAAGAATCTACTTCCACACTCACCCGTCTCTCTGCAGTCGTATGACTGAGGAGTCCATTTCTCTGTGAGCTGTTGACTGGGAGCCTCTCTCAGCATCCTCCTCACTTCCCACTGCCCCCATCACCTTCAGAACCAGCAACGGTGTGTGGAGTCCTTCTCCGGCCTTAAATCTCTGACTTCCCCTATGCCACCAGCCAGAGAAATCTCTCTGCTTTTAAAGGCTCACAGGACTACATCAGGCCCACCCAGATCACCCAGGCAGATCTCTCTGTCTTGAGGTCAACTGTGCCATATAACATAACATAACCACGGCAGCAGTGTCTCATTATTCCCAGGTCCCCAGGATTAGGGCAGGCCATTCTAGAAACTCTGCAGGGAGTTGCTGCCTGACATTGTTCCAACATCAGCAACAGGGACCTGGGATACATTCACATCCACGTCCATCCCGCTGTGCTTGCTTCTCTGCTCGTCTCTCCCGGGGGTGGGAAAGTGGAGGGTGTTTTCTGGTTTATAAAGAGCAGAGTAAGAGGAGCAGAGGGAAATGAGGAGACAGAGCAGAAATCACGAAGCTGTTTGCTGAGAATGAGTAATTAATTGAGGGTGACTGGCATCGCAACCTCCCTGGCATGAGGCAAGGCCACCAGTCCCCATCCAATGTCACCCATCTGTCTTCATCGGCTGATAATTGGCGGGCCCAGCACAGACGCGGGGGATTTGTTGGTGTAGTTCATCCAATTTGCAGACGTGACTCTTGAAAGGAAGGGGCTCTAAATCACTCGTGGGCACGTGTTACTTTAAGTCACTCAGAATGTCTCATCTTTGGGTAAATGGTTGGCTTCTCCTGAGAAAACCCTACATCCCGACCTCGCCGTAATGCACTAATGGACGCACTTGGTCTCACGTACACAGCAGGGCTGATGGGATGGATTTGGGCAAGGCTGCGGTGTTCTGAGGGCTCCATTCAGGCAATCTGCCATTCAGGGGGCTTGTTTTATGGAAGTTCTTTCTCTGTCTAGAGATGTGAAGAAAAATTAATTCAAGATGAAAAGTTAGGCAAGATGAGCCCGCACACTGAGCTAATAGCGTTTTATCTCAGCCCTCGGAGTGTTGAAGGCTGGCACCCTGCTCTTGATGTTTCCAACTTGGAATACAAGATTGGAAAGGTTTTTAGGCCCACGAGTGAGGGCAGCAGCGTATACTTGCCCTGTGCCTCATTTGTTCTAGAGAAGGCTAGGATGGGAACATGAAACAAGGAAACCCCTGGTGTGAGTGCATTTGAAGAGGACTTGTCTGACTGTGTGATTTTTCAGTCAATGTGGACAAAGGAGATGAGGGTGAAAAGCAAAATTGCTGAGCTGTATTATCTGTCTTAGCTTTGTTCCCCCAGCAGCTGAGCCTGAGGAAAGGATTCATGTGCCTGTTCTTTATTTGGGCGGTGACGGGAATCCCAGTAGGGGAGTGGGAAGTGAGGCGGGAAGGGAAGACAGCCAGCAGAGTGTGCTCCCAGCTCAGCCACCACTGTGGGCTCCGAGGCTGCTGGGGAAACTGCGAGCCAGTGTAGAAAAGGTGAGAAGAGTCGTTGGTTTTGAGGGGCAAGGGAACTGGGAGGTATATAACAACTCCTGTTGAGGGCTGCTCCTGGAGGGGTTCATTCCTTGGCACTGCTGGCTGCAGACATGACCGCATGGGCTCCAGAGGCCATGGAATCCCCTCGGGCAAAATCACTTTGCAGGGTTGGCAGTTAAAAGTTGGGCAGGCAGATTCTGAATCAGAAATGGGCAGGCGCCAACGGTGGACACTTTCCATCTTCAGATTCGCGTGCAATCCCACTCACTCCTTACAGGCAGTGCAGTCAGCCTGGGCTTCCAATTACAGGTAATAGACACCCAACTCAGGCTGCCATAAACAGACATCGGAATTTATCAGTCCTGTCCAGGCATTTGCATCTTCAGGTAAAGCTAGATCCAGATGCTCACACACTGTTATCAGAAATCTTCCTTTTTATTATTGGTATTTTCCCTCAATTCTAGAAAATGTCCAGCCATTATTTCTTTGAATACTGACTCCCCCCATATTGTTTCCTTCTGAAACTTCTAACAGAAAACTGTTGGTCATTCCCATTCTCTCCCTCATTTCTTTCAACCTTCCTTTCGTATTCTTCATCTTTATATTCCTGTGATCACATTTTAGGTAAATTTCTTGGCTCTGTCTCCCAGGACACTAATTGTCACCTCAGACATGTCTAATCTGCTGTTTAAATGATCCATTGAGTAGTCAACTTCAACTAGTGTATTTTCCGCTTCTAGAAAGTTCTGTTTGGTTCCTTTTGCATCCCCCCGTTCTTTTTCCATTCACTCCTGCTCTGTCAGTGTGGTTTCCACTCCTTTTAATTTTCCTTCAACTACTTTATTTCACAGGCTCTTTTTTGGTAGTGGTGGTTTGTTTTATTTTATCGTCCTTTTCCTTTGTCCCAGTATCTCAAGTCCTTGGTCTGCTGATCTTTTCTTTGTGAGTGTTTGGTGGTTCTCTCCCACGGTAGAGCCTTCCCTCCTAGGGACTGTAAATATTTTGTTATCATGAGAACCTCCTGTGCCTGCTCTGACTTGCTCCTGAGGAATTCCTGCGCAGTTTTGCATTTCCATCTGCACAGGTCCAGCTTCGAGTGAATTCCTTTGCCTGCGGCTCCTGCGCCATATGGGGGGTGTAACTTCAGACTCCACACCCAGCCATGGGGAAGGTGCAGGGTTTTGATTTCTGGGGGAGACTTTTCCCCACCCAGGGCTCAGAGCACAAACAAGCATGATCGTTGTGTTTCAGGCCCAGTGGGAAGGATTTTCTCATCCCCCTGCGTGGAGTGGGCCCCCTCACTAGTCCTTGCTGTATGCAAAGGCCTCGTCCTCCTCTGACACGTCCCCAGGGCGACGTCAACATGCCAGCCACGGGCTGCTGGGTCCTCTGAGTAGCTCTGACACCCCTCGGGCCACCCCAGCCACAGCTAACTGCGTGCACCACTCTGTGGTGTGTTCCTTTTTCATTTCTCATTCCTGGGAATTTGCATCTCCTTGATGTACATTTTTGCCTACTTTTTAACTGGTTTATACTCAGCCAGCCTTCTTTGTTGCTGGACATGCTCTTAAGCCTCTATCTCTCTCTCTCCCTCTCTCAGCTCTTCTTCCCCCTGTGCTGCCCTCAGGCCCCAGACGACTTTCCCTAGGTGGTGGCAAGATGACCACTCCCTGTGCCAGGCTTGTGTCCCAACTCAGCAGCCCCAGGTCAAGCAACCTTCTCCTCTGTGGTTCCAGCAAGAGCCTAGGCATGACGTCCCATTGGCTGGTTTGGATCATGTGCCCCTCCCTGAGCCAATCACTGTGAACAGAGTGGTGGAATGTTCTGATTGGCCAGACCCTGGTCACATGCCCACCTCTGAAGCTGGAGGGGTGGGTCCACCCCACTCACCACACAGACGCTGAATAGAGAAGATGCGGTCCTGAAAGGAAAATTAGTGTTCTAGTCCCTGCCAGAAAGGAGGGAAGGCAAACTAGACAGGCAAACTAAATGTTCGTGTCAGACCCTGCTGTCTAGGGATTCACATTCTCGTTTTCAGTTGAGGAAACTGAGGCCCAGAAGGATTGGTTTAAAAAAGTGTCCTCAAGGAAATAGTGGATCTGTGTATTTAATTCCAAACACTCTAAATCCTCCACCCTTTGCCATCGTGTCCAGAAGCCAGGATAAAAGGAGACACTGGATCATTTACCCATAACAGACCCCGGGGGCTCCATTAGCTCCTCCCAACCAGGAAATCACTGCCCATTTCTGTCCTCACTCTCTTCCTTGCTTCACCTCCATCACGTCCAGCACATTGTCTGACAGGAGTTATCCCGACCCCGTTTCATGGCCAGTGCCCACCCCTCTCCCTCCTGGCCTCTGATCACCTTCCGTCCTCCCCACGTGCAAAGAGTTCACTGACTGTGCATTACAAAGTAAAATTCAGCACGCTCAAACCTATGCAGAGTGAACATCCCAGCCCAACTCCAGTCAACATCCCCGCCTGCCACGATAAACCCCCCTGTCTTGTTCATTCTCTCTCTCTGGCTCTGTCAGCCTCCTTTCCAGAGAATACTCAGTTTCTGGTGCAGGGTTAGGCACAAATGAGGCTTTTAATACATGTCCATGGAATGATGAGATGAATGAAAATTGCATCACTAAATGCCTGTTCTCAGAGAATGGGGCAGAATTCCAGACACGTCAGAATTGTTTCCTCCAATCCCTGACCTGGAGTCAAAGGCAGCCAGGAGACAGACCAGCAACGGTGGTTAAGACTCAAGATAAACTGCTTGGGTCTCCATCCCTTCACCAAGCAATCTTGGGAGAGCCGCTGATCCTCTCTGTGATCCATTTACTTACCTGCAGAATGAGAAATATTGACATAGTATCCACCTTGTATATTGTGAAGATTAAATGAGTTGATATATGAAAAACACTTGGGACAGAGGCCGGTTCCCGGGAAGCACTACGTACGTCTTAGCTATTGTCATCATGGTGGTGGGTGGAATGAGGGTGCACCAAAGATGGCCACGTCCTAACTCCTAGAACCTGTGAATATGTCACCTTACGTGGCAGAAGTGACTTTGCAGCTGTGATTGAGGATCTTGACATGGAGAGACGACTGTGGATTATCCGGATAATGTAATAGACTGAACGGAGCGTCCTCACAGGGTCCTTAGGGGAGGGAAGTTGAACTCAGCCAACACGTTCAAGTGAGTTCTTGTCAACAAGGCCGGTGGTGCGACTTCCCAGTTAGGGTTCTTCCCGGTAAGGATGATGCCGAGCTCTCATCATGTGTCAACATTTGTCTTGTTTAAATTAAGTTCATTCTCTGATCTCGACATAAAATCTGAACGTTTTCTCCCCAGATGCCCAACCACCAGGTCTGGATTTTAAGTCTGCTCCCTGCTTTGGGGGGTTCTGTTCTAGGAGGGGGTGGGCAGGTTCCTAAGAGAAGAGGCATCTCCCCAAGCTCTGGTCTTCTAACTGCCTCTCTCCCTGCAGGAAGCCGTGGTCAGCACTTGGCTCCAGTTCAGCGACGGCTCGGTGACGCCCCTGGACATCTATGACCCCAAGGACTTCACCCTGACTGCCACCTCCCTGGATGAGGCCGTCGTGTCCATTCCCCAGGCCCGCTCTCCCAGGTGGCCCATTGTGGTGGCCGAAGGGGAAGGCCAGGGGCCGCTGGTCCGAGTGGACTTGACCATTGCGGAAGCCTGCCAAAAATCCAAACGCAAGAGCATCCTGGCCGTGGGCATCGGCAACGTCAGGGTCAAGTTTGGCCAGAACGACGCTGACTCCAGCCCCGGCAGGGACTACGATGAGGGTGAGATCAGGAACCATGCCAGTGACCGGCGGCAGAAGGGCCAGGATGCACACTTCCACGGCAGCTCCCCCGTGGGGCGCGAGGAAGGTGCCCTCCGGAGGGGCAGCACCACGGCCAAGTCGCTGCTGGACAACAAGGTGGCGAAGGACAGCCGTCCGGACGGGGGCAGGCTGTCCGGAGAGGGCCAGCTGCAGAACATCCCCATCGACTTCACCAACTTCCCGGCCCGGGTGGACCTCCCCGAGGCGGGGGGCGGGCTGGGGGACGGTGACCTGGTGCAGACGCCGCGCGGCCTGAGCGACCTGGAGATCGGCATGTACGCCCTCCTGGGGGTGTTCTGCCTGGCCATCCTGGTCTTCCTGATCAACTGCGTCACCTTCGCCCTCAAGTACAGGCACAAGCAGCTGCCCCTGGAGGGCCAGGCCTCCGTGACCCACTCGCACGACTGGGTGTGGCTGGGCACCGAGGCGGAGCTCCTGGAGAACGTGGCCGAGGGCTCGGCCCCGCAGGACGAGCACACGACCGTCATCGACCGCGGGCCGGGGGGCTGTGAGGAGAACAACCGGCTCCTCCTCAACGGCGGCTCCCAAAAGCACATTCAGGGCCACCTCCAGAGGCCGGCCGACGCGGGGGGAAAGCAGGGCGGGGACCAGAAGCACGAGTCCCTGCACTCGCCCACCTCGAAAAGGAAGAAGGTGAAGTTCACCACCTTCACCACCATCCCCCCAGACGACGGCTGCCCCACCGTGAACTCCATCCTCGGCGGCCACGAGGAGGACATCAAATGCGGGTGCGAGGACGTGGACGTGGGCGCCCCCCAAGAACTCAGAAACTATCTGGAGAAACTCAAGGGCAAAGTGTAGGCCCCTCTGGCCAAGGGGCCGGGTGCCCGGGCCCCTCCTTCAGTTCCCGAGTAGATCTGGGCCCCAGGAATTAGGGCAGCAGGAGTCAGCGGCTTGCACAGGGAAGCGCTGGGGCCCCTTATAGACCAGATGGGAGTGTTGAAGCCTGAAAGGGACGTTTTTTGTAATCAAAGGTTTTTTAGCAGTCGAGGATGGCAGATTTTTGAAAGTCAGCGGAACCAACTCTGGGAGAGGAGCTGACAGCGACATTGAACCGCGAGAGGCCAAATTAGGGACATTATTCTATGAGTCAAACTATAACACAGACACGCTACCAAAAATTATTTGTTAAAAAATGCAAAAAGACAAATAAAAAGAGACAGAAATAATCATCTGTTTATATTTCTAATAAAGGAGCAAAATATAAAACTAGGGCCTGCGAAGAGACATTTTCCATTTTACTTCAATATTGCCCTGTCTGAGGACAGCCTGTGACTGTCACCGTGGGGCTGGAGGACATGTTTCCAGATATCAGTTGCCTCTTGGGACAGACCTGAGGATTTTTAAACCTTTACTTGATAATCTTTTTTTCTCTTTGTCCACGTTTTTTTTCCCCCTCATTTTTCTTTTTGTGTCCTAGACTTCCATTTGATTTACGTTTAATGTTTACTTCTGAGGATCAAATGATATATTTTTCCTAAATTAAACATAAATTATACTCCTATTCATTAGACAAATTCTTAGAAGCAATGCCAATGAATCCATTCTTTAAGTAGTAAGTTTGATGCTTTTCTATATCCCTCCAGCCTTGTTGATAGTTGCTGGTTTTTACGATTAGAGGGAGCTCTGGGAGCCTTTGGCGGGTGGGGGCAGTGTCATTGACCCACTACCGCACCCACCATAGGGCCCAAGCCAGTGGGTGGGACACTGTCAGAGGGTCTTCGATTGGGACCCAGCCAGCATCACAGAAACCAGCCAGGGCCCCCTGTCCACTCAGTGACTCCATCCCTGGTGTTGTGGGGACGCTCCTATGTGGGGGAAAGTTGGGTCAAATCCACAAGAGAAAGACCACTCCCAAGAAAAACCAGTGTCAACCTCATCTATCAGGAGATACTGGTATTGAGAAATAAACAAAGATAAAACCTGCTGGAGGGTTTTCAGTTGTTTTTCTTACTTTATTGGGTGGGGTGTACCAGCATAAACTGAAAAGATAAAAATCTATGTTAGATGCTCAATGAACTGTGTTTTTTAACAGCCTAATTGTGTAGCAGCACATTGCGAAACGCATTCATCCAAAGTAAGCGTATGCGGCAGGGAGGCCCACACCGCAGTGGAGTAAACGCCCTCGTGACTGCAGACTCCAGCCAGCGAGGGAGGATGACGCCCAGCGGCCAGCACATGGTACCCTTGGCAGGGCGGCGCTGGCAGACCCCGGGGATGCTTCTTGTTTTTATTTTTTTAATTACTAAAATCAGTAGCTAAGAAAGGGTCCTTGAAGCCTCATAGCCTCAGCTGGACCTTTTAAAAAGATATTTCTAGCACATACTATAGGCAGAAAGAAGGAGATATTTATTTATACCTGTGAAGTCAATTGTCATTAAAATGCTATCCATGGCTTGACAAGTCGGTCTCCTGTGGGCTTTCTTATCTCATTTGACTCCTATTTCTTCTCCCCACTGAAGGTACAACTTGTTGAAGAAATAAACTGTCTGTTAGGCTAGAGGGAAAACAATACACTTGCCAATCTTTTTTTTTTTCCCTCCTGGATTCTTGACTGATCCAGAGTAACTCCTAATACAGAAACCCTTCAATCGCTGTCCACCATCATCTACATCAGTGGTTCTCAAACTTGCTCAGAATCGCCAAAAGGGCTAATAAAACCCAGATTGCCGAGGTGTGGCCGAAAAATGTGCATTTCCGGCAGGTTCCAGGGCGTTGCTGATGCTTCCGGTCTGAGGCCCACACCCTGTGATCCACTGATCGACATCAGAGAAGAAGGAAGGCTGTGACACTGAGTGGACGACCATGTATGTGGTTCCATCCTCTGGGGAAAACATCTCCTTGTATTCTGATTGTTTTTGTGATTATTGTTGTTTGAGGTTTCGGTGGGATTGTTGTTGCTGTTGGTTAGTTGACTATATAGAATTTTTCGGTAGAAGACAAGGTGGTGGTATTTTTTTTAATAACAGCTTTTTTGAGACATAATTCACATGACATAAAATGGACCCATTTAAAGTGTACAGTTCAATGGTTTCTAGTATAGTCACAGCATTGTGCATCCATCACCACATCAATTTTAAAAAATTTTCATCTTCCCGAAAAGAAACTCCAAACTCATTAGTCACTGCCCATTTTCCCCCAATTCCCAGCCCCAGGCAACCACCAATCTACTCTCTGTCTGTGGATTCGCCTAGAGGTGCTCATATCTCTTTCATTATGGGAGCCCCTCCTGAAAATTCCCCACGTGGGATTATAATCCCCACGACATCATCAAGTGACAATTGTTGTTCTTGTAAGAAGCTGATAGGATTAAAAGATGGTGACTGTTCTTAATCCAGGCACCAGGAGACCTCTACCGCCCACCGCCAACAGCGTGGCTGGAAGTGTGCAGTGAGAGAGGATGGTCTTCAAGACATTCTATGTGGAAGCCATGTCCGCTCCTAAATCTGGCCACCTACCTAGCTAGCCCATATATTTCTTTAAAAGATTAAGGTTCCAAATAAGGGGAGAGAGGATTGTGGTTGGCTCTAACACCGGATGCTTAATTTCTGCCCTGAGTTAAACCATAAAAGGATGAGAACCACCGCACACCCCAGCCAGCTGCTGGCCGTGGGCAAATACCTCGGGGGCCGCTCAACAACTGAGCGACTGGGCTCTGAGGCCTGAGACAACCAGGGCAGTTGAGGTCTTCCTCACAGGCGGGAGGCTCAAGGAGGCCCCTGCCCTCACTGTCAGCAGAGAACTAAGAGTCCATGTTGGGTGACCGGCTGGTCCCATTTCCCCCGGGACTGTCCTGGTTTTAAAACTGGAAGGGCATTTTTCCCCAAATTAACATATTGTAACCTTAAATTTACACAATGTTATATGTCAAATATATTTCGATTAAAAAATAAATAAAATAAAACTGGAAGACCCATGTCCCATGAAGCCTCTCAGGGGAAGCTGGGATGGTTGGCCACCCTGGTCTCCGTAAGTGATGCCAACAATCATTGAAGTTTCCTGTCCGTCCTTTCAATTGATCGGGATGTCACGGTGTTCAAAATGTCTCCTTTCTTGCAATCTTAAGGCTCAAGCCTGACCTCCCCTAGGGAGGCAGCAGGGGGCTACAGCCGGCCCAGCACTCGAGTCCAGCCACTCCTGACCAGGGCCTGTGACTCACGGGATTGCACCACCCCAACCACTAACGTGGGGCCGGGGCCACTTCCCACCACAGATACCTTGGGTTTGTGCGTGTTTTCTGCTGGGTGGAATCAGAGGACGATTTCTCTTTTATGTGTACAGATGCTAAATAAACGTAATTTTAAAAAATGTTGTCAGACCCTAAAACAAATTGGATCAGTCATTTCTCACTCGCTTCCTGCTGAGCACAGGGCTGCCCCCGCCCGCCAAGCCCACCCTCCCTCGGTATGTGAGCCTCTGTCCCCACTGAATGAGTCCAGATATACGACCTCCGATTAATTCCCAAGGACGTGTGTCAGGTCTATTCTGCAGATGAGGTCACAGCGAGATGAGCATGTGCCGTCTCAGAAAAGGCACTGCCTTCGTACGGGGACGTGAGTCTGTGAGACTGAGGAGGTGCACACAGCAACAGCGAGACCGTCCGTCCAGGCAGACGCTCTGTAATTCCTCCTTCCTGTTAAAATGATCAAAATAACAACAGCAGCTTGTGTCTTGGTTGCCGGTCCAGTCATTCATTTAGCACACACTTATTGAACACCTGCTGTATGCTTGGCCCTGCACGACACGCAAAGGCTGGAATAATTAACAAGACCTCCAGCCGCTGGCAGTCAGAGGCTGGAGGCAGAGAGGCGGGCGGTTACAGCACAGGGCGATGGGTGCCGTGGCGGGTAGGTGCCCACTGGCCAGTGAGCCTCACCGGTGGGTCTTCTGTTCCTCCCTGCTCGTCGACAGAGTCACTGTGTACCCCAGGCTGACCTCTCATGGCCTCAGAACACGAGGGTCTGAGAAAAGAAACTGTTCTCTCTCAGATGAGAATAGATCTTTATTAATATTAACATTTATTGACATTAATCTTTATTAATATTAACAATAATTTATTAATAATATTTTTATTAACATTAACCTTTTATTAACATTAACAATAACTACCATAATAATAAGACTCCATTTAAGGAGTCTGTGCCAGGCCGGCTGTAAACATCCTTTAGTTATTCACTCGCAACAACCCCCTGAGGTAGGTGTTGCCTCTGTATTACAGAGGAGGAAACAGGCTCAGAGCATCCTTCTCAAGGTCACAGCTAGGAAATAGCTGAGCCTGGACTCTGACCCTGACTCTGTCTCCAAAGACTGTGGTCTTGATTATTACACTAATACAAGCTTTACGTATATTTTTGTGAGCTAAAAATATAATGAAACTGACAACAAAGCAATTCAGGCTTATTCCACAAAATCTGGAAAATGCAGAAAAGTAGAAGAAATAAAGAAATAAAAAACCCTTGTCCTTCTTCCTGGAAATAAAAATTAATAACTCATCTTACGCACCCTTCAGTGTTTTTAACAGTGCATGTCCTTTTGCCTGGCTTTATTCGTATTTTGAAAGCATACCATTATAAATATGACTTTTAAATTATTTTCCCAATTTTAAAAGTAGCCTATGAGCATAGTACAAAATTTATAAAAATGACCAAATTCACCTCTGCTGGCACTCCAGATATGTCCTTATAGGTTTTTGCCCTTGTATTTCTTTTTTCTTCTATAGTTGAGATCAAAGTGCAAATATTGATTTTTAAGCATAATTAACAGGGAAAGTTCCTCAGCCCTTAACAGAAGACTATAGGACAACCATATATGGTGGAACATTGTAAGTTGCTTAAGGGGCCCCGTATGCGTAAGGGG